TAGAACTCAATCACAAGAGGAAAGTCGGAAAGAACTCAAATACAAGGAGGCTAAAGAGCATCCTACTAAAGAATGAATGGGTCAACCAGGAAATTAAAGAATTAAAAAAATTCATGGAAACCAATGAAAATTAAAACACAACTAAAAAAAAGAAAAGAAAAGAAAACACAACTGTTCAAAATCTTTGGGATGCAGCAAAGGCAGTCCTAAGAGGAAAGCATATAGCAATACAAGCCTTTCTCAAAAAACAAGAAAGGTCTCAAATACACAACCTAAGCATACACCTAAAAGAGGTAAAGAAAAAACAGCAAATAAAGCATAAACCCGGCAGGAAAAGAGAAATAATAAAGATCAGAGCAGAAATCAATGAAATATAAACAAAAAGAACAGTAGAACACATCAACAAAACTGGGAGATGGTTCTTTGAACGAATTAACAAGATTGATAAACTCCTGTCCAGACATATCAAAAAGAAAAGAGAAATGACCCAAATCAACAAAATCATGAATGAAAGAGGAGAGATCACAACCCACACCAAAGAAATACAAACAATTATAAGAACATATTATAAGCAACTATATGCCAATAAATTATATAACCTGGAAGAAATGGATGCATTCCTAGAGATGTATCAACTACCAAGACTGAACAAGGAAGAAATAGAAAACCTGAACAGACCTATAACCACTAAGGAAATTGAAGCAGTCATCAAAAATCTCCCAACAAACAAAAGCCCAGGGCCAGATGGCTTCCCAGGGGAATTCTACCAAACATTTCAAGAAGAATTAATACCTATTCTTCTGAAACTGATCCAAAAAATAGAAATGGAAGGAAAACGTCCAAACTCGTTTTGTGAGGGCACCATTACCTTGATCCCAAAACCAGACAAAGACCCCATCAAAAAGGAGAACTACAGACTAATATCCTTGATGATCATGGATGCAAAAATTCTCACCAAAATACTAGCCAATAGGATCCAACAGTACATTAAAAGAATTATTCACCATGCCCAAGTGGGATTTATCCCTGGGCTGCAAGATTGTTTCAACAACCACAAATCAATCAACGTGATACAATACATTAACAAAAGAAAGAACAAGAATCATATGATCCTCTCAATAGATGGAGAAAAAGCATTTGACAAAGTACAGCATCTTTTCTTGATCAAAACTCTTCGGAGTATAGGGATAGAGGGTACATACCTCAATATCATAAAAGCCATCTATGAAAACTCCACAGCCAATATCATTCTCAGTGGGGAAAAACTGAGAGCTTTCCCCCTAAGGTCAGGAACACGGCAGGGATGTCCACTATCACCACTGCTATTCAACATAGTATTAGAAGTCCTAGCCACAGCAATCAGACAACAAAAAGAAATCAAAGGCATCCGAATCAGCAAAGAAGAAGTCAAACTCTCACTCTTTGCAGATGATATGATATTTTATGTGGAAAACCCAAAAGACTCCACCCCAAAACTACTAGAACTCATATAGGAATTCAGTAAAGTGGAAGGATATAAAATCAATGCACGGAAACCAGTGGCATTCCTATACATCAACAACAAGACAGAAGAAAGAGTAATTAAGGAGTCGACTCCATTTACAATTGCACCCAAAACCAAAGATACCTAGGAATAAATCTATCCAAAGAGGCAAAGAATCTGTACTCAGAAAACTATAAAATACTCATGAAAGAAATTGAGGAAGACACAAAGAAATGGAAAAATGTTCCATGCTCATGGATTGGAACAACAAATATTGTGAAGATGTCAATGCTACCTAGAGTAATCTAGGCAGCATTCAATGCAATCCCCATCAAAATACCATCCACTTGTTTCAAAGAAATGGAGGAAATAATCCTAAAATTTGTATGGAACCAGAAAAGACCCCAAAGAGCCAGACGAATGTTGAAAAAGAAAAGCAAAGCTGGCGGCATCACAATTCTGGATTTCCAGCTCTATTACAAAGCTGTCATCATCAAGACAGTATGGTACTGGCACAATAACAGACACATAGATCAATGGAATAGAATAGAGAGCCCAGAAATGGACCCTCAACTTTATGGTCAACTAATCTTCAACAAAGCAGGAAAGAATGTCCAATGGAAAAAAAGACAGTCTCTTCAACAAATGGTGTTGGGAAAATTGGACAGCCACATGCAGAAGAATGAAACTGGACCATTTCCTTACACCACACACAATAATAGACTCAGAATGGTTGAAAGAACTAAATGTGAGAGAGGAGTCTATCAAAATCCTCAAGCAGAACACAGGCAGCAACGTCTTCGACCTCAGCTGCAGCAACTTCTTCCTAGAAACATTGACAAAGGCAAGGGAAGCAAGGGCAAAAATGAACTATTGGGACTTCATCAAGATAAAAAGCTTTTGCACAGCAAAAGAAACAGTCAACAAAACCAAAAGACAACTGACAGAATGGGAGAAGATATTTGCAAATGACATATCAGATAAAGGGCTAGTATCCAAAATCTATAAAGAACTTATCAAACTCAACATCCAAAGAACAAAGAATCCAATCAAGAAATGGGCAGAAGACATGAACAGACATTTCTGCAAAGAAGACATCCAAATGGCCAACAGACACATGAAAAAGTGCTCAACATTGCTCGGCATCAGGGCAATCCAAATCAAAACCTCAATGAGATACCACCTCACACCAGTCAGAAAGGCTAGAATTAACAAGTCAGGAAGTGACAGATTTTGGCGTGGATGCGGAGAAAGGTGAACCCTCCTACACTGTTGGTGGGAATGCAAGCTGATGCAACCACTCTGGAAAACAGTACAGAGGTTCCTCAAAAAGTTGAAAATAGAGCTACCATACGGTCCAGCAATTGCACTACTGGGTATTTACCCCAAAGATACAAATGTAGGGATCCAAAGGGGTACGTGCACTCTGGTGTTTATAGCAACAATGTCCACAATAGCCAAACTGTGGAAAGAGCCAAGATGCCCAACTACAGATGAATGGATAAAGAAGAAGTGGTATATATATACAATGGAATATTATGCAGCCATCAAAAGGAATGAGATCTTGCCATTTGCAATGACATGGATGGAACTGGAGGGTGTTATGCTGAGCGAAATAAGTCAGAGAAAGATATGTATCATATGACCTTACTGATATGAGGAATTCTTAATCTCAGGAAACATGAGGGTTGCTGGAGCCGGGGGGGTGGGAGGGATGGGGTGGCTGGGTGATAGACATTGGGAAGGGTATGTGCTATGGTGAGCACTGTGAATTGTGCAAAACTATTGAATCACAGATCTGTACCTCTGAAACAAATAATGCAATATATGTTAAGAAAAAAAATAGAAGAAGATAGCAGGAGGGGGAGAATGAAGGGGGTGGAAATCGGAGGGGGAGGCAAACCATGAGAGACTATGGACTCTGAAAAACAAACTGAGGGTTCTAGAGGGGAGGGGAGTGGAAGCTGGGTTAGCCTGGTGATGGGTATTAAAGAGGGCACGTTCTGCATGGAGCACTGGGTGTTATACACAAACAATGAATCATGGAACACCACATCAAAAACTAATGATGTAATGTATGGCGATTAACATAACAATAAAAATTTTTAAAAAGTATCACACTTTGCTACTTATTTGTGTACTAAATGAAAGGAATGAACTACACAAGTCCTCTAAAACATATTCTCTGCTTTTCACGTGTGTATGACCCTGAAAAAAGTGTCCTACAACATGTCCTCATACTGGAAGCTAGACCAGCACCATCCTTCTTGCAATCATCTCAAAGATAAGAATGTGAAGAAGTAGGAAGATAAACATGGACAGAGGTGGGGTTAGATTTGATTAGAAATGAATCAGTCCATCCCACAGACAAAAGCACCCACACATTTTTAGCTATATAAAGGCCACTATCTCAATCCACCGGTCACCCTGCAAGCTGCATCAGGCTTTATCCTACGTGTTCCTTTGGTGAACCAGGTGAGAGAAAATTCATCCAGCTACATGGATGGATATTTGGTTGATTGTTGTCCACATTCGAAATTTAGGAGTAAAAGCTAAGTCAGAGTTAATATATATTTGGCTATTTCATTCTTGTTTCTTTTTCTTCTTTTTGTTTGTTTATTTGTTTGGTTAGTTTTGTTTATTCTGGGGTCTTTTTAGAATAAGTTTGTTGTTGTCAAGATGAATAATGAAAGAAGTTCATCTTTTTCTAGGCCATTCCACACTCTCTTCCTAGTCTTTTGCATGTTATTTTTTTTCTGGGTTGGCCAGCTGAAATTGAGAGGAGGCCAGCACTGGTGTAGAGTCCCTTCCCTGTTCAGTCAGTGCCTGGGGCTCCAAGATCGAGTCATCCACTAGTCAAACTACTGCCTGCATTGCTGAGCCCTTCTCCCTGGTTATTGAAAAAGAATAAGATTAGAGTGTTTGGTTGAACCTGAGATTAGGATAGTTCCTTAGCTCTGCTGTGGGCTATCTCATGCTTCTGAAGCACCAAGGTAATGGGTAACTTGCCCATTGTTTATTTGCTGAAGGCCTTAACAATCCTGTTTAGCTTCTGGTGCCCAGAGAAGAAAAAGGTATGATAGAAGGTCTGTCACTTTTGTCTCAAAAGAACCAGTGAAACTACCAGAGAGACTGGGACAATACATCTGCGTGGTTCTGGAAACTTTGGAAGCTCCAGGACAACACTCAGAACACCAAAGTACACAAAGTATAGAGACATTATGTAAGGAATATATTCACCCAGGACATGGGGATATGAGCTCTAATCCTAGTTCAGTCAACAACATGCAATGACTTAGCAAAGTAATTCAAAATTAACAAAGTTTTCACTGTATTGAAAGATCCCTAACCCATCTTTACTTGTTGAAGTATTTTAGGTTTAAAAGAGACAAGAGATTTGAAAAACCATCATGATTATTATTAAAATCAGAATTGCTTATAAATTAAAAGAAAAGAACAAGAATAATAGGGTCTTTTGTTTCTTTTTTCTTCAGGTTCACTTAAACTTGCAAAAAAGATGACTGACCTCTTGAGGAGTGTTGTCACGGTCATTGATGTTTTCTACAAATACACCAAACAAGATGGGGAATGTGGCACACTGAGCAAAGATGAACTAAAGGAACTTCTGGAGAAAGAGTTTCGTCCAATTCTGAAGGTGAGAACTCATACACCAGGATTGAAGGCTGCTAGGGTCTCTTGTAAATTCTCTGTTATGTGACCAAAGATTAGCTAAAAAGTGCACAGTCTCAATGGTCTTTGGGCAAACTCTATGAGTGTACTTTTGGGGGACATCAGAAAGTCTGCTGGGGCATTATTTATTTTTAGAAAGGTGAATGTTTTTTCATTTTCCTGTGTACACCCACCATGTAGACCTTAAGACTTTTTCATACCCCCAGGTTTCCCCTTCTGAAAAAACAGAATATAAATATGTGCTAAAACATGAGTTAACAGATTGCCCTATCAAATTTGGAAGAAAAAGTATAGAGAGGTAAATGCCTACAAGGAGAGCTGACCAAGTAGCCAGGATGACTAAAAACTGCAAACAAAAAAACAAGCATTTCTTCCATCTACTTGGGAAGGACTCAGCTATTACCTTTAAAATTATAAATCCTAACATAGAATATATTAGCATGTAATGTTTAAAATGTATGTAAAACTAAAATATACCAGGTACTGAAGTTGATTTATTCAACTCCTTCCTGTACGCTATACCTGAGTACCTAGTCCCCTAGCTTAGGTCCTTGAACTGTATTCTGCTGGGGTTCCCAACAGATTTTATTCTTTTCTATTATCTCTTTTCAGCTGCTGGGTCCTATTAGGCTGCTTTAGCTTAAAGTAACCCTTGATTGGATTTAAAATACCTAATGTTAAACATCCACAATTCCACAGCTCTACCTGAATATTTTACCTGCCTATGTAAGCTAGGCTGACTAGGTCTCCTTTGGTATGTCACTTGTATACAGAACCCAGATGATCCAGATACAGTGGATGTTATCATGCACATGCTAGATCGAGATCATGACCGAAGACTGGACTTTACTGAATTTCTTCTGATGGTATTCAAGTTGGCTATGGCTTGCAACAAGGTTCTCAGCAAAGAATACTGCAAAGCTTCAGGGTCAAAGAAGCATAGTCATGGTCATCGACACCAAAAGGAAGAAAGTGAAACAGAAGAGGAAGAAGAAGACACAACGGGACAGAAATCAGGTTACAGATATTCAAGTTGGAGTGAGGGAGAGGAGTATGGTTATGATTCGGAGGGCTTAAGGGAAAGTATGAAACATAGACATGGGTCAAACTCCAGGAGGCTGGGAAAGCAAGGTGGATTATCTAGCTCAGGAAACCAAGAGCAATTTGAGAAAAGACACCATGGGTCTAGCTCTGGTCACTCATGGAGTAGTGGCAAAGAAAGACATGGTTCCAGCTCTGGAGAGCTGGGGGAAAGAAGAAACAAGTCACATGTTAGCCCCTCCAGGGAATCTGAGAAGGAATATGAATCTGGATCTGGATCAAAGAGTAGGAGGAGGAAAGGTCGTGGTGGTCTATCACATGGATTGGATGCTAGTGGAGATGAATCAAACTCTACTCAGTCAAGAAATAGTGGAGGACAAAAGCTTGGATCTAGCTCTAGAGGTTCAGGAGACGATGGAAGGCAAAGCTATGAATGTGGCTCCAGCAATTCAGGTGGGTGTGGAAGGCCACAAAATGCTTCTACTTCTTGTCAGGAAGGTAGATTTGGAGGGCAAGGAAATCAATCTAGCTGTACCCAGTCAGGATATCAATCAGGAAGTAGTGGAGGACTAGGTCGTGGATGTATTTCAGGAGGTCAGTCCTCTGGATATGGTCAACATGAGCCTAGATCCTGTAGCCAGTCTTCTAGTCAGAGAGAATATGGATCTAGAGCATGTGATCAAACACAGAACTGTGGAAGACAACAGAGAACAGGTTCAAGTCAATCCTCTTGCTGTGAACAATACGGGTCTGTAACAAGTCAGTCTTCTAGTTATGGTCAGTATGGATCTGGTTCTTATGGACACTTTTCAAACTCTCAGCAAAAAGGGTCTGGTTCAAATGAATTTGCTAAATGTGGACAACATGGGTTTGGCTCTGGGCAGTCCTCTGGCTTTGGCCAACATGGGTCAAGCTCAGGACAGTCCTCTGGCTTTGGACAACAGGGATCTGGCTCAGGACAGTCCTCTAGTTTTGGCCAACGTGGGTCAAGCTCAGGACAAGCCTCTGGCTTTGACCAGCATGGGTCTGGCTCAGGACAGTCCTCTGGCTTTGGACAACATGGATACAGCTCAAGTCAGTCCTCTAGCTTTGGACAACAGGGATCTGGCTCAGGACAGTCCTCTGGTTTTTATCAGCATGGGCTTGCCTCAGGACAGTCCTCCAGCTTTGGAGAGCATGGGTCTGGCCCAGGAGAGTCCTTTGGCTTTGGACAACATGGGTCTGGTGAACATCAATCTTCTAGCTCTGGACAACATAGATATGGCTCAGGTCAACCCTCCAGCTTTGGATATGGATCTAGCAAACATCAGTACCATAGCTTTGGGACTGGATCAGGTCATTCTCTGGGCTTTGGACAACATGAGTCTAGATCAGGTCAGTCTAGCTATGGCCAACATGGTTCCAGCTCAGAGCAATCTTCCAATATTGGCTCTGGGTCTTCCTCAGGCAGGACTTCCAAACACAGTCAATATGGATCTAACTCAAGCCAGTCTTCTGGTTATGATCAACATGAGTCAACCTCAGGTCACTCCTCTGGCTATGACAAATATGACTCTAGAATAGGGGAACAAGAAACCTATGGGACTAGTTCAGGAAAAGGGTATCCAAATTGTGGAAGGCCAATATCAGATTCAACTGACAGTCAAACAAGAGAAAGAGCTAAAGGGAGACAGGGAAGAACCCAAGGACAGTCAGGAGACAAAAGTAGACATGCCCAGTCTGGTCATGGACAAGCCACCAGGACAGAATCTTGTAGGACTACAAGAAGGCGATCTAGTGTCAGTGACTCCAGTGACACTGAAAGACACTCAGGAGTCGTGCAGGCACACGCAGGATCCCCTTATGGCCACTCTGGATTTCAACATGGAGAGTCAGAATCCACAGCCAAAGGGACACAGGGAACAACTCATGCACAGTCAGGAGACACCAGTAGAGATGCTCAGTCTGGGCATGGACAACCCACCAGGACAGAATCCTCTAGGACTGCAAGAAGGGGATCAAGTGTCAGTGAGTCTAGTGACACTGAAAGGCACTCAGGAGTCACACAGACAGACACAGGATCCTCTCATGCCCACTCTGGATCTCAACATGGAGAGTCACAATCCACAGCTAAAGGGAGACAGGAAACTACCCATGGACAGTCAGGAGACACCAGACATGCTGTCTCCGGGCATGGGCAAGCAACTAGGACCGAATCCAGTAGGGCTGCAAGAAGAGGATCTAGTGTCAGTGAGTCCAGTGACACTGAAAGGCACTCAGGAGTCGCACAGAAACATGCAGGATCCTCTCAAGACCAATCTGGATCTCCACATGGAGAGTCAGGATCCACAGCTAAAGGGACACGGGAAAAAACTCAAGGACAGTCAGGAGACACCACTAGACATGCACAGTCTGGTCACGGACAAGCCACCAGGACAGAATCCAGTAGAACTACAAGAAGGGGATCCAGTGTCAGTGAGTCCAGTGACACTGAAAGGCACTCAGGAGTCCCACAGACACACGCAGGATCCTCTCGAGGCCAGTCTGGATCTCAACATGGAGAGTCAGGATCCACAGCTAAAGAGAGACAGGGAACTACTCATGGACAGTCAGGAGACACTAGACATGCCTGGTCTGGGCATGGAGAAGATAACAGGACAGAATCTACTAGGACTGCAAGAAGGGGATCCAGTGTCAGTGAGTCTAGTGACACCGAAAAGCACTCAGGAGTCCCACAGACACATGCAGGATCGTCTCGAGGCCAGTCTGGATCTCAACATGAAGAGTCAGGATCCACAGCTAAAGGGACACAGGAAAAAACTCAAAGACAGTCAGGAGACACCACTAGACATGCACAGTCTGGTCATGGACAAGCCACCAGGACAGAATCCAGTAGAACTACAAGAAGGGGATCCAGTGTCAGTGAGTCCAGTGACACTGAAAGGCACTCAGGAGTCCCACAGACACACGCAGGATCCTCTCGAGGCCAGTCTGGATCTCAACATGGAGAGTCAGGATCCATAGCTAAAGAGAGACAGGGAACTACTCATGGACAGTCAGGAGACACTAGACATGCCTGGTCTGGGCATGGAGAAGACAACAGGACAGAATCCACTAGGACTGCAAGAAGGGGATCCAGTGTCAGTGAGCCTAGTGACACCAAAAAGCACTCAGGAGTCCCACAGACACATGCAGGATCGTCTCGAGGCCAGTCTGGATCTCAACATGAAGAGTCAGGATCCACAGCTAAAGGGACACAGGGAACCACTCGTGGACAGTCAGGAGACATCAGGGGACAAGCTAGGTCTGGGCATGGACAAACCACCAGAACAGAATCCAGTAGAACTACAAGAAGACGATCTAGTGTCAGTGACTCCATTGACACTGAAAGACACTCAGGAGTCGTGCAGGCACACGCAGGATCCCCTTATGGCCACTCTAGATTTCAACATGGAGAGTCAGAATCCACAGCCAAAGGGACACAGGGAACAACTCATGCACAGTCAGGAGACACCAGTAGAGATGCTCAGTCTGGGCATGGACAACCCACCAGGACAGAATCCTCTAGGACTGCAAGAAGGGGATCAAGTGTCAGTGAGTCTAGTGACACTGAAAGGCACTCAGGAGTCACACAGACAGACACAGGATCCTCTCATGCCCACTCTGGATCTCAACATGGAGAGTCACAATCCACAGCTAAAGGGAGACAGGAAACTACCCATGGACAGTCAGGAGACACCAGACATGCTGTCTCCGGGCATGGGCAAGCAACTAGGACCGAATCCAGTAGGGCTGCAAGAAGAGGATCTAGTGTCAGTGAGTCCAGTGACACTGAAAGGCACTCAGGAGTCGCACAGAAACATGCAGGATCCTCTCAAGACCAATCTGGATCTCCACATGGAGAGTCAGGATCCACAGCTAAAGGGACACGGGAAAAAACTCAAGGACAGTCAGGAGACACCACTAGACATGCACAGTCTGGTCACGGACAAGCCACCAGGACAGAATCCAGTAGAACTACAAGAAGGGGATCCAGTGTCAGTGAGTCCAGTGACACTGAAAGGCACTCAGGAGTCCCACAGACACACGCAGGATCCTCTCGAGGCCAGTCTGGATCTCAACATGGAGAGTCAGGATCCACAGCTAAAGAGAGACAGGGAACTACTCATGGACAGTCAGGAGACACTAGACATGCCTGGTCTGGGCATGGAGAAGATAACAGGACAGAATCTACTAGGACTGCAAGAAGGGGATCCAGTGTCAGTGAGTCTAGTGACACCGAAAAGCACTCAGGAGTCCCACAGACACATGCAGGATCGTCTCGAGGCCAGTCTGGATCTCAACATGAAGAGTCAGGATCCACAGCTAAAGGGACACAGGAAAAAACTCAAAGACAGTCAGGAGACACCACTAGACATGCACAGTCTGGTCATGGACAAGCCACCAGGACAGAATCCAGTAGAACTACAAGAAGGGGATCCAGTGTCAGTGAGTCCAGTGACACTGAAAGGCACTCAGGAGTCCCACAGACACACGCAGGATCCTCTCGAGGCCAGTCTGGATCTCAACATGGAGAGTCAGGATCCACAGCTAAAGAGAGACAGGGAACTACTCATGGACAGTCAGGAGACACTAGACATGCCTGGTCTGGGCATGGAGAAGACAACAGGACAGAATCCACTAGGACTGCAAGAAGGGGATCCAGTGTCAGTGAGCCTAGTGACACCAAAAAGCACTCAGGAGTCCCACAGACACATGCAGGATCGTCTCGAGGCCAGTCTGGATCTCAACATGAAGAGGCAGGATCCACAGCTAAAGGGACACAGGGAACCACTCGTGGACAGTCAGGAGACATCAGGGGACAAGCTAGGTCTGGGCATGGACAAACCACCAGAACAGAATCCAGTAGAACTACAAGAAGACGATCTAGTGTCAGTGACTCCAGTGACACTGAAAGACACTCAGGAGTCGTGCAGGCACACGCAGGATCCCCTTATGGCCACTCTAGATTTCAACATGGAGAGTCAGAATCCACAGCCAAAGGGACACAGGGAACAACTCATGCACAGTCAGGAGACACCAGTAGAGATGCTCAGTCTGGGCATGGACAACCCACCAGGACAGAATCCTCTAGGACTGCAAGAAGGGGATCAAGTGTCAGTGAGTCTAGTGACACTGAAAGGCACTCAGGAGTCCCACAGACACACGTAGGATCCTCTCATGCCCACTCTGGATCTCAACTTGGAGAGTCAGGATCCACAGCTAAAGGGAGACAGGGAACTATTCATGGACAGTCAGGAGACACCACTAGACATGCCCAGTCTGGTCATGGACAAGCCACCAGGACAGAGTCCAGTAGGGCTACAAGAAGGGGATCCAGTGTCAGTGAGTCCAGTGACACTGAAAGGCACTCTGGAGTCCCACAGAAACACGCAGGATCCTCTCATGGCCACTCTGGATCTCAACATGGAAAGTCAGGATCAACAGCTAAAGGGACACAGGGAACTACTCATGGACAGTCAGGAGACACCAGACATGCTGGGTCTGGGCACGGACAAGCCACCAGGACAGAATCCAGTAGAGCTACAAGAAGAGGATCTAGTGTCAGTGAGTCCAGTGACACTGAAAGGCACTCAGGAGTCCCACAGACACACACAGAATCCTCTCATGCCCACTCTGGATCTCAACATGGAGAGTCACAATCCACAGCTAAAGGGAGACAGGAAACTACCCATGGACAGTCAGGAGACACCAGACATGCTGTCTCCGGGCATGGGCAAGCAACTAGGACCGAATCCAGTAGGGCTGCAAGAAGAGGATCTAGTGTCAGTGAGTCCAGTGACACTGAAAGGCATTCAGGAGTCCCACAGACACACGTAGGATCCTCTCATGCCCACTCTGGATCTCAACATGGAGAGTCAGGATCCACAGCTAAAGGGACACAGGGAACTATTCATGGACAGTCAGGAGACACCAGGGGACAAGCTAGGTCTGGTCATGGACAAGCCACCAGGACAGAGTCCAGTAGGGCTACAAGGGGATCCAGTGTCAGTGAGTCCAGTGACACTGAAAGGCACTCTCGAGTCCCCCAGACACACGCAGGATCCTCTCAAGCCCACTCTGGATCTCAACATGCAGAGTCAGGATCCACAGCTAAAGGGAAACAGGGAACTACTCATGCACAGTCAGGAGACACCAATAGAGATGCTCAGTCTGGTCATGGACAAGTCACCAGGACAGAATCCACCTGGGCTGCAAGAAGGGGATCTAGTGCCAGTGAGTCCAGTGACACTGAAAGGCACTCAGGAGTCTCACAACCACATGCAGGATCCTCTCATGGCCTCTCTGGATCTCAACATGGAGAGTCAGGATCCACAGTCAAAGGGAGACAGGGAACTACTCATGGACAGTCAGGAGACACCAGGGGACATGCTGGATCTGGGGATGGACATCCCACCAGGACAGAATCCAATGGGACTGGGAGAAGGGGATCTACTGTCCATGCGGCCAATGACAATGAAAGGCACTCAGTTTTGAGCCATGGGCATTCCGGGTCTGTCCCCAAACACACTGGTACTGATACAACTGGAAAGTATAAATCTAGGAATGAACAGTCAGGAGATAGTTCTAAACATTCAGTCATAGATCAAGGGCGGACATCAATTCATAAGCAACCAGTTTCTAGAAGTTCACAGAATTTTGGGTCCTCCCATGAGCAGACAGGAGACAAATCTACATCATCAGGCTCTGTTCAGGGACATACCACATCTTCCCATGGGCAGTTAGGAACTGGCACAATAGAGAGACATGGGTCCAGCCATACACAGTCACGTGATACTCATAGGCAGTCCAAGGATAGCATAAGGAAACAGTCACATAGCAGTCATCCCCAATCTAGAATAAGTCATTCTCAGTCACAGATTAGTGGAAGACAACGACATGGATCAGGTCAAGGATGGAAACATGGCAGTTATGGAAATGCAGAATATGACTATGGGCAGTCTGGGTATGGACCTTCTGGGGGCAGCAGAACAAGCAGCTGCAATTCTAGCCCTTTGCAGTCATTAGATAGAGCTGCAAACAATCAAGTGTCTACACATGGACAATCAGTTTCTAGGTTTAACCATACAGGATCAAAAGCAACTGAAATAGTAGGAAGACAAAGCTCAAGTCATGGACAGTCAATTGAGTCCCATAATAAGTCTGGATCCAATGTAACTAGAAGGCAGGGATCTATTCATGGGCATTCAGTAGTAAACCACGAACCATCAAGTGACACCCATGTTCCATATGGAAGGCAGGGATCTACTACTCATAGGCAGCCAAGCAATCATTCTGTATCCAGCCATGGAGAGTCCATATTAGCTCACAGCCATTCAGCATTTAGTTCAACTCTAAAGCATGGATCCCATAGTGATAATAAAGAGCATTCAGAAGATTGGGGGAAACAGATTCATGAACCATCAGGGTCTAGGCATGGACAATCAGAATTCAGCACTATAGGTATACATGGATCCAGCCAGCAGCATTTGGGAGATACATCTTCTCATGAGCAGGAAAGATCCAGCACAAGTTTAGTAAGACAGGGATCAAGTAATAGACAATCAGGAGACATCCAGGGTCAATCTGGATTCAGCACCAATGAAAGACAAGTATATAGCCATTGACAATCAAGTGACAGCTATGGGCAGTCAATTGACAGCAGAAGCAGAAGTCAAGGATTCATTTCCAGTCACTCTCATGATAGCCAAGATCCTAAAGGAACTGAAGAATATGGGTATAGATATTTATCAAGCAGTACAATCATGTGGAGTGGGGAAAGGCAAAAGCAAGGGCCCGAATCAAGTTTGTTAGGAAGCATCAGAATATATAGTCAGGATGTGGACGATAAGCAGGCAAGAAACATGGAGGCCAGAGGTTGCCATAAAAGGGAGAGAACAAACTCAGGTTCCTTTTACTTAGATAGCAACACTCCACTCTATGAATATGCCCAAGAACAAAGGTGTTATTACTTCGAATAATCATTTGAGGCCAACAGAAAACAAACTAACTCAAGATAAGAACTAACCCAAGAAGAAATGAGAATATAGCATGGAATTAAGATATTTACCATTATCCTTTCTTTTCTTAGTGGGGCATATGTCTGTTCTTTTATTTAACTGTAGCACTGTACTCTACTCCTCTTGTTTGGTGCAGGTTTTGTTTTTGTTTTTTTTTTTTGTAAGGCTCCATAATCACTAAGCTCTTTGGTTAGAAAACAGTGAATGGAAGAAGTAAATAGCACTTGGAACTATATTCAGAACTATATAACAAAGTGATTTGAGTGCTTTGGGATAAAATAAGCGTTTTTAAAAAATGTCTGAGACTCAGATTTTGGACTTTCCAGATTTTATTTTAATTGACCATTGACAAACCTAACCAGGGAGCTAAGAAACATGATTTTGGAGCCAAAATTTCTCTAATAATATTGTAATACATTCCATGTCCTGAACAAAAAATGCTGCAGTAGTTGATTAGTCAGAATATTTGCATCTTTTGTGCCACCACTGGTACTTCATACTACTACTTTTGAATTTATTGTCATGACCTCCTGTATTGCATAAAAATTGTCAATAAACTTTCAACAAGGTATAGTTTCTCTTCTTTTTCATCTTCACAAACAAACATAGCTCCCTGCCAAAGGATCAAATGCAGATTTCTTTTTTTTCTTTATCTTATTTAAATTCAATTAATTAACATATACTGTATCATTAGTTTCAGAGATAGAGTTCAGTTATTCATCAGTTCCATATAACACCCAGTGGTCATTACATCACGTGTTCTCTTTAATGCCCATCACTCAATAAACCCATCCCCACACCTACTTCCCCTCCAGCAACCCTCAGTTTGTTTCCCATTGTTAAGAGTCTCTTATGGTTTGCCTCCTTCTCTGTTTTTATCTGATTTTACTTTTCTTGTTTTGTTTCTTAAATTCCACATATGAGTGAAATCATATGATATTTGTCTTTCTCTGACTGACTTATTTTGCATATATATATATCTTGGGCTATTTGTGGACACTGCTGTTATAAACATTGCATTTCCTTCCACCTTCACTTTTGAAATTCAAATTAAAGTGAAATTCATCAATGGGTGTTCAAGATCAGAAGTCCCTACTGGGGGCAGAAGTTCTATGAAAAAACAAAACACGGGCTAAGTTTTCTGAATAGACTCAGAATATATTCCATTTACTTTTAAATATTTTAAGAAAGACTATACAAACTTTGATCACTGTGCTATGTGATAAACACAACACTAGTCATATTAGTTTATTAGTGAAAGAAAATAATTGTTATACTATAAATGTACACATAAAAAATAACTGAATATATGATAGTTACCCTAAATAGTAATCAAGTCATACAAATCTATCCATCAGCATTCATTCTTTGAATAAACACTAATTTTCAAAGCATCATTAGACATTGCTGCTATAAACATTGGACTGCATGTGCCCCTTTGAATCACTATGTTTGTATCCTTTGGATAAATACATAGTAGTGCAATAGCACCAATGTCCACAATAGCCAAAATATGGAAAGAGCCCAGATGTTCATTGAAATATAAATCAATAAAGTTGTGGTATATATGGGGCGCCTGGGTGGCTAAGTCAGTTAAGCGTCTGCCTTTGGCTCAGGTCATGATCCCAGCGTCCTGGGATCAAGCCCCGCATCGGGCTCCCTGCTCGGTGGGGAGCCTGCTTCTCCTTCTGCCTCCTCTGCCTGCCACTGCCCCTGCTTGTGCTCTCTCTCTCTCTGACACAAATAAATAAAATCTTTTTTAAAAAATGTGGTATATATATGTATGTGTATACACACACACACACACACACACTGGAATATTACTCAGCCACCAAAAAATGATATCTTGCCATTTGCAATGACATGGATGAAACTAGAAGGTATTATGTTAAGTGAAATAAGTCAGTCAGAGAAAGATAATACCATATGATGTCACTGATCTGTGGAATCTAAGAAACATTACAGAGGAATATAGTGAAGGGAAGGTAAAATAAAATAAGATGAAAATTGAAAGGGAGGCTTACCATAAGAGACACTGAACTCCAGGAAACAAATTGAAGGTTGCTGGAGGAGAGGTGGGTGGGGGAATGGGATAATTGGGCAATGAGCATTAAGAAGGGTACTTAAAGTAATGAGCACTGGGTGCTGTATGCAACTGATGAATCACTGGACTGTACCTCTGAAACCAATAATACAGTATATGTTAATTAAATTGAACTGGGTGATGAGCATTAAAGAGGGCACATGATCTGATGAGCACTGGGTGTTATACTGAACTAACGAATCATTGAACATTATATCAAAAACTAATGATGTACTATACCTTGGCTAATTGAATTTAAATTTAAAAATAAATAAATGATGTGGTGCTCGATCCCAGGACCCAGGGATCATGACATGAGCCTAAGGCAGATGCTTAACTGACTGAGCCACCCAGGTGCCCCTTTACTAGAGTTTTTTTTAGGAACAGTTTGAGGTTCACAGCAAAACTGAGCAGAAAGTGAAGAGAGGTTTCACACATCTACTAAAATCACACACATGGACAGCCTTCCCCACTATCAACATCCCCCACCAGATGGTACATTACTCACACAGGAGGAAACTCTATGGACACATCCTTATCACTCAGAGTCCATAGTTTACCTCAAGGTTCATTCTTGGTGTTCTCCAGTCTATATCTTTTGTGATATCTATGTAATGTTCACCACACACACACACACACACACACACACACACTTATAGTACAAGAGAGTTTCACTGCCCTTAAAATCATCTGAGCTCTGTCTATTGGTTCCTTCCTCTCCCCAACCCCTGACAAACATTGCTATTTTTAATGTTCCCATTTTTTTTTTTACTTTTGCAGAATGGCTGCCATTGAATACAGAGATACAATAGAGCCCTAAATCGCTTTGAGACACCAGACTCAATGGGAGAAGCCTGGGCTCCTGAATGACTGGATGTGGTCAGGATGTGTCATGAACAGGCCACTGGGAGCACCCTGCTTAGGGTCAATGTAACAATTATTTTAAAAGTCCAGCAAGGAGGGGCATGTTATCTGTAATACTGACTAGAAAAAGTAGCTTATGGTAATCATTCAAAGCAGTTGACTTTTTGGGGGAGGGTATGTGCTATGATGAGCACTGTGAATTGTGTAAGACTGATGAATCACAGACCTGTATGCTGAAACAAATAATACATCAGTGGAGAGCCTGCTTTTCCCTCTCCCTCTGCTACTCCCCCTGCAGTTCTCTCTCTCTCTCTGTCAAATAAATAAATATAAATAAAATCTTTTTTTAAAATCTCTAATAAAGACAAGAAAAGAAGAAAAACTTGTTATTAAGAGTAGTGAAAAGAAGGGCCATATGCACCCCAATGTTCATAGCAGCAATGTCCACAATAGCCAAACTGTGGAAAGAGCCAAGATGCCCTTTAATAGATGAATGGATAAAGAAGATGTGATCCATATATACAATGGAATATTACTCAGCCATCAGAAAGGATGAATACCCAATTTTTACATCAACATGGATGGGACTGGAGGAGATTATGCTAAGTGAAATAAGTCAAGCAGAGAAAGTCAATTATCATACAGTTTCACTTATTTGTGGAACATAAGGAATAGCATGGAGGACATTAGGAGAAGGAAGAGAAAAATGAAGGGGGAAGAAATTGGAGGGAGAGATGAACCATGAGAGACTATGGACGCTGAGAAACAAACTGAGGGTTTTAGAGGGGAGGTGGGTGGGGGGATGGGTTGACCCAGTGATGGGTATTAAGGAGGGCATGTACTGCATGGAGCACTGGGTGTTATACGAAAACAATGAACCGTGGATCACTACATCAAAAACTAATGATGTATTGTATGCTGACTAATATAACATAATAAAATAAAATAAAAATAAAATAAATAAAATAAAAATGAATAAATGAGACTATGGATTCCGAGAAACAAACTGAGGGTTTTAGAGGGGAGGGAGGGTGAGGGGACGGGTTAGCCTGGTGATGGGTATTAAGGAGGACACGTATTGCATGGAGCACTGGGTGTTATATGCAAACAATGAACCATGGAACACTACATCAAAAACTAATGATGTACTGTATGGTGATTAACATAACATAATAAAAAATAAAATAAAATATAAATAAAGGACTTGGGAAAAGATGACAGAGGAATAGGATACCCTCTTCCAACCACTCCCCTGAATTGACCTGATATCCACCAGACCACTCTGAAGAATAAGCCTGAGATGTAAGAAGACAGACCTGGATCTCTACAAACAGAATATCGCAGGCGGTTAGTTTTGAGGTATGAAGTGGAGAGCCATGATTCTGCGGGCAGATAATGGAAGATAAACAGAAGGGGGAGGGAGCATTTGGGATTCTGCACTGTGGGATCCCAATAGTCTCCCGCACTGGGGATAGGGCACAGACTCACAGACTGGTAGTGGTGGGACAGCCCCCCGGACTGAAACCTGGAGTGGCAGGGCCACCCGTGTGAACTGGGGGCAGCTGGAGGTCTTAGAGCACAAAGGGCAAATACATGCCCCAACCTGGAGGGGAAGACTGGGAGCCCTGCTGAGGGGCGCACAACCCAGGACGCTGCAGTC